GTTGGGTTTCTGTCTGTTTCCATCGCACTGTTTAGTCTTTACAAGATCATAAATGGGGTTTTGAAAAGCAGCAAAGCTAATTGGCACTGCATAACCCTAATAGAGTGACTCAGCGTGTAAGGAGAGTTTGTTCCCAGACAATCAGACGTGCTGTTTCTAAGCCCCTCCTGGAAGTACCTGGAATATTCTGTTTTTATGTGTAGGGCTTGTGTATACGTGCACAGAACAGACAACCTTGCTGAAGAAACAGGCTGAATATAAATGTTTGCTGTTTAGTTGGGCTTATGCCTCACTGTAGTCAGGGGATTAACGTGACTCATGGTTTTACACATTAGTGGCTGTTAAATCTTCAAAATCAAAAAGAAGTGTAGAGGCAACAGGGACATTTCAGGTTGAGATTATTTTGAAATTTGAACAATGTATAGTAGTATTTTATGTTTAACTTATAGTTCTGAACTAGATGCATCTAGAACCTGATTGTGAGTATTGTCATGTGCCTGTGATGAAGCAGGCATATGGAAGGCGGTTGCTAAGGAGGCCTCAGCCCATAAGAGTCAGCGGTTTTCAAGCCCAGTCGCGTGCAGCGGAGCCTGCCACCTACGCCGCGCTACGCTACGCTGCCGGTATTACCCGGGCCTCCCAGCTGCTGATGTAGTATCTCACAGAGTCCCACTCAGCGTGTGACAGTCATGTTCCTCACCCACACCTGCAGGATGACCCGCGCGCAGTTACCTTCCTAGAGGTGCATTAAAATCAGGCGACTTTTATTGTGATCCCGAAGAACTCGTGAAATTTTAGCTTCCGTGTCATTTCGTACCATCTCAACATGGCTGCCGGTGGTATCTGCAGGGTCTTCACGGGCCTCATGTAGCGCTAACGTCATTAGCCTCGAGGGCTAACGCCGCAGGCCCCTTCCACGTGCATCGTGAGCCAGATGTATGAATTAATCCGATTTCTGGGCCCTGAAACACAATCCTTAGTCCTGCTTTATGGTAAATTGGATTAATAACCAACAGGCTTGCACAATCACACTGACGCCTGCAAAACAGCCTAGAAGGACACATTAACTCATTAATCTGCCGTATAACATTTAATTCTCTTTATTGTCCTCTGCTTTCGTATCAAACCATAATTAGGCTCAAGACTTTGGAGGCCAATTAAGGCAGGAAATGATTCAGCCTTCTCTTTATAGATCCTGCTCGGACTTACTTGGGCTTTGAAAAATCAATCAAAATAAACCTTTGGGTTCTTCCAGCGGGGGGAAGGGGACAGTCTGGGAGCCGACGGTGAACCTTTTTTTAGCCGTTACCTGTCAGAGAAGCCTCCAAACACTTCAGAGGGCCAGCTGGCTCTGTAGTACAGACAGAGGTGGACGGCACAGCCAGCTGGCTCTGCTGCCAGCTTCTGGAGGGCCCCCTACTGCCTGCTCAGGTGGCAGCTGTTACGCTTATGCTCGTTTGTTTGACTGTTGATGCGCGGTTAAGTACAAATGACGACCAGGGGAAGTGTGGCTCACTGGGGAGCTGGCCAAGCCGTCTCTAGCAGGCTGACGAGTTAATCGTGCCTAATACAGTGTTTCAAAAAGTATTTTTAAAATCCAGAGTTTGCCTTTTAGTAGGTCAATAGTTTGAAAGCAGAAATAAGCAAAAAGTTTATCAACAGCAACCAAAAGTGCATCGATGTAGTAAAAATAAAAACAAAACAAAAAAAGAAAAGGAGTCCAGCTTATCTGTCTCAAAAAAGAAACACAGAGGAGCTGAAAAAAGTAACATTTAAAAATAATCCGGAGAATACAGGCCAATCAGATGATAGTGGTTTGTCTAACAATGGCAGAATTTTCAAGCTTTTCGTCTGTTAATACGCTTTTATGCGCGTTTAAATGAAGCCACGTTGGTTCATACACTAGTACTGACCCTGTGCAGTTTAACGGAGATGAATACCATGAACAAAGGTAAACCAAGCAAAGATTGAAACATCGTGTGGTTGATGTCCTGTAACCATCAGGGCCCATAGACATCAAGTAGGGATTGGGGACCGAGACGGCATCTTCTTTGACACCGTTTGTCAAAAACCTGCCAATTAAACTATCGTTTGTTTCAGGGGATCCAAAACTCCTCTTTCTAGCCAGAAAAGTCTTCCGTGCCAAGCAATGTTAAAAACGCCGACTTCATGCTGGGGAAATGAAGCTGTCTGCTGAGCTGGAATGATTTATCCCTCAGACTCATCAGACCAGGGAGACCCCATCCCGGTGGACATCAGGATGGCAATAACTCAGCCTGTCAAGGCTTTGCCGCTGCTGTTCCCCGGGAAATAACGGAAATCAACATTAAGGTCGTGATGAGAGTGTTATTCATGGTTTTAAATCTTTCTGATGTACAACGAGCTTCCAATTAGCAGGGGGTGTAACTGTGGGGGTGTGGGCTACTCTGGAATGTTTACGCGGCCGTCAGTTTCAATCAATATCTAAAATAAGTACGAGTGCGTCTGATTTGCCAGATCGAGCCACGATATCTCAGTGATGTTCGCATCTCCCGTCTGGTCGAAATATATTGAGGTACACGCACGTATCTAATCTGGCAGAGCGAGAGACAAATGGATGGTTATTTGCATAATTACACAATATGTGATTTTACAGGCAGAACTGGCTGAGCTCAATAATAAGGAAAAAAAAACCTGTGAAGGCGAGGAGATGTTAAGACTTTATAAAAGGATCATTTGTGGAGACGTTCTGTCCGTCGGAAGAGGTGCACGGTATTACGAGTCAAGGACACGCATTAATAATCATTTAGGGCGATGGCGGTGGTTTTCAAAGGGGTAACGTTCCGAGCGTGAATACCAATCGGCTCCATGCCATTAAATGTGAGAGGAGTAACCTGCAGGATCAAATTAGCGAAGAAATATGGCTTCGCACAATTTTTAGACTGCCTGACGCTGGAGTATATGTCAGTCGGCAGATAAAAGCAGGTAAGGGGGTGTTTTCTTAGCCAGCTATATTCAGCTGTGAAACGTGTATATAAACACATGCTTGTGCAACAATCCCCTCGGTTTGTTCCACGTCACCTGTTTCTTTCCCTGGTGGTATTTCTATATTGGCTTAAATTTCTCCTAATACAGACATTTCTGAACCGTGACATGAGATGCACGCTGGGCTGAATTTATTTTCTGAAATGGCTGTACGCTAACTAAGTTATGCACTACGCTGCTGGTTGGATATTAGGCCTCCTAATGCTGAGGAGGAATTAACTCAACACGCCCTCAAGACCCATGTTAAGCAGCATGTCTAGTTGTGTGCAGCATCCCGGGAGATGTTGGGGAAGGACGCGCTGTGACGTTACGCACGTTTCGTTTCGAGCCATTAAACAGCCTTTGGGCCTAAGGATAATTAGGAGTGATACGTTATTATTATACCACATCTTTTTAGTTATTCGTTAGTCTCAGTGACATATTTTGATTTAAATATATTTTTAAAGAGCCTTTTTAAAATGTGCAACGATCTCCGTCCTGCATGGCATTGAGTCTCCATAAGAGGGCTGTATTTCATGTTGTCAGTTTAATTAACATTGAAATGGTGTCTGATAGCAGTAGAAACAGACTTAATTCCCTTCAAAAAACGCTCTCTGTTGTGCTTTAATCTCCATTGTACTAATTCTCAGCTGTTCCTCCATGGAACGTACCGGAGGCTGTCTAATGTGATACTGTGTCCTTTGGCACGGTTTCAGATGCCTCACAAATGTTGTATTTTTAAAGTAAATTAGGGGGCAAAACACAAAATATGGAGGCATAATGACATCTCATTTTATCGCAGAGTAGACGACATTTGCTTGACATGCAGATTTATTGTGGGTGTGCGATTGCATGGAGTTTGGGGTCTCTAGTGATCCCAAGGCACCCGTGTCCCACAGAAGTACATTTCTCGGTGTGGGTGACGTCCCTCTTAGCGTGCCATTCAGGACAGCGATGCCACAGTAGTTGAATAGAAGCAACGGCATCCTGTGCATGTGTATAAACACCCTGTTCCTGGCAACAGCTAGCTCCGCCCCCAGTGAATACTAGCCCCACCCCCAGCAACATTTGCCCCACCCTTGGCAACAGCTTGCGCCCTCAAAACAAAAAAAAAATGAAGCCTTGTAATAAAAGTCCCCACCAACTCTCCTGATGTGCAACCAAACTCAACTGAGTGAATGCCCTAGATATTTATAAATAGGTATTTGAGTGTTGAGGATGTTGATGTTAAAGCAGAGCTCCACCCTGGTCTAAGAGACTCTTATTGGACTTTGAACCCATAGTTAATATTCTCGTTCCTGTTATATCCCAGTTGTGGTTCATATCTACCTGGTTCAGTGAGAGTTAGTGTTTGTGTGTGAGCAAGTGTGTGTGTGTGTGTTTGTATGAGTTTGTGTGTGTTTATGCCATGCGTGTGTGTGTGTGTGTGTGTGTGTGTGTGTGTGTGTGGTGTTTGTGTGCATGTATGCCATGTGTGTGTCTACGCGTGTGTGTGTGTGTGTGTGTGTGTGTGTGTGTGTGTGTGGTGTTAGTGTGCATGTATGCCATGTGTGTGTCTACGCGTGTGTGTGTGCGTGCATGCTTTGCTCCAGTGCCAGCATGGAGCAGATGCCCTGCTCAGTCTCTTTACTCCCATCCAGGAGATAGGGGGGAGTGATGGGGGGGGGTTGGCCATCCACCAGCACCTTAGCATGATTCTCCTCCCGACCACGCAGACACCCCCTCCCCCCAAGCCACAGAAGCTTCATGACTGCATTGAAATTAAAGCCTTTCTCCCATTTATCTAATATTCCATCTGATTCCACTTCAAAGGTAAGGTATTAAGTGAGAGGCCATGGGAGTAACTAAGCGTTAGATCCGGAATAGCGATATGGAGATTCAGAAAGGCAGGACCTCGGGATCTGAAGATGCCCCCTAGGTCATAAGCTGCAGATGGACGGCCTGACCTGTCTGTCCCACCTCAGCTGTGACGTTCCCTGTCTCCTCATCACCTGCAGCTCGCATCGTCCGGGCCAAGCAGTGGTGTGAGATGCTTCCCTGCCTGGATAATGAAGGCTGTAACCTGCTGGTGAACAAGTCGGGCTGGACCTGTACTCAACCCGGGGGCAGAGTTAAGACCACCACGGTAAGTTCTGGTCCCTGCTTCTTGCTTCCCGCGTCCTCCGTCTCTCTCAGTTTCATGGCCCTCTGGGCCACCCGGAAGTCTCTCATTTCCTCCCCAGCATAAGCGGCCGGATCCATTTTCGGCCGGATCTCAGAGCGGTGGTCCACTGCTCCGTGGTGGCTATGAGGTCGCCATCTCCGCAGGAACCTAGGCGGTCTCCGGGACGGCCTCGTACCACTGCCAACTTGGATCGCTCTCTCTCTCCAGGCTGGAATGAGTCCAACTATGCTCTGGCGCAGCAGAGAGCAGCCCTGATTCAAACAAGATTCAAAGGATTCAAGGATTCAAAAGCTTTATTGTAATTTGTAGTAGGATGAAATACTTTCTTGTGTGCCTCACTGTAAACTTAAACATATAACAATGAAAAACAATAGATAGCAAGTAACAGAATACTGAAAACAATAACATACATACAATATACAAGTAATATGCATTAGGACAGCAAGGTGCTGAGGTTACAGTGACAGTGGTTAATAAATGACAGTGGTGATTGGGATAACAGTGCGAGGTTTCAGCGTGTATTTAACATTTGTATTACCTCTGTAGGAAGCTGTTGCTGAATCTTGAAGTCTTCTGGAGGGGAAGAAGGAGAAACGTGACTGTGCTAGGAGAAAGGGAGGAGGGAGAAAGGCAACTGCTAGAAGAAAAGGAGGAGGGAGAAAGGCGACTGCTAGGAGAAAGGGAGGAGGGAGAAAGGCGACTGCTAGAAGAAAAGGAAGAGGGAGAAAGGCAACTGCTAGAAGAAAGGGAGGAGGGAGAAAGGCGACTGCTAGGAGAAAGGGAGGAGGGAGAAAGGCAACTGCTAGGAGAAAGAGTTTGGAAAAAGTCAGATGTGCTGGGAGAAAGTGAGGAGGGAAAGGCAAATTGCTAGGAGAAAGGGAGGAGTGAGAAAAGTGACTCTGCTAGGAGAAAGGGAGGAGGGTGATAGGCGAATTGCTAGGAGAAAGCGACTCTATTAGGAGAAAGGGAGGTGGGAAAACGTGACTGCTGGGAAAAAGTGAGGAGAAAGAAAGGCAACTTGCTAGGAGAAAGGGAGGAGAGAGAAAGGCAACTGCTTGGAGAAAGGGAGGAGAGAGAAAGGTGACTTGCTATTAGAAATGGAGGGAGCAAGGTGACTGCTGGGAGAAAGGGAGGAGGGAGAAAGGCAGCTCTGCTGGGAGAAAGGGAGGAGGGAGAAAGGAGACTGTTGGGAGAAAAGGAGGGTGAAAGATGACTGCTGGGAGAAAGGAGACTGATAGAATGAGGGAGAAAGAGACTGCTGGGCAAATGGGAGAAGGGAGAAAGGTGACTGCTGGGAGAAAAGGAGAAGCGAGAAAGGCAACTGGTCGGAGAAAGGGAGGAGGGAGAAAGGTGACTGTTCTGAGAGGAGGGAGAAAGGCAACTTCTGAGATGAGGGACAAAGGCAACTGTGCTGGGAGAAAGGGAGGAAGAAGAAAGGTGACTTGGGAGAAAAGGGAAAAGGGAGAAAAATAACTGCTGGGATGAGGGAGAAAGGTGACTGTGCTGGGGCAGGTCTGTCAGGCCCCGGTGCTTGCAATTTGTTGTTAAATTGGCAAGGTAGGGTTTAGACCTGCGGGGGGCGAAGTGACCCTGTGTTCCTCCCTTACCCCTAATCGCCCTCATGGCATCCACACCCAGCAAAGCCCATTGCCATCAGCGAATAAAGCGCATCATTTTAGGAGATTCGTCACAGATTGCTCCTTAGCTTCCACTCTCGCATAACCGGATGTCATTGATTGAGTTTCGTTAAGTGTAAATAATCATTAATTCAATGCCTGCGTTTCAGTCATCAGCCAACGAACGACGCCCTCCTCCTCAACTCGTGCCTCCGGAGCATGAAAATCTGAAGCATCGTCAGTGAATTCTTGTCAGGTTACAGCAGGAATTAAATTACCTACAGTATGATTTCACGGGGGACGTTCGCCCCCTTGCTGCGTAAGACGAAGAGTGCAGATCCCGTCCATGCAGTTTATAGACCTCTGGCCTCTTTTGACATGCTGGGTTATCTAGCCTGCGAGATGGACATGTGAGGAACCAAGCTTCACACAGGTTCTGTACTCAATCTGCTGCCAGGCTGCTGGGTTTTGTATTTTTTTGAGTTCTTGCCTTGAGAGGGGCATCTTTGGATGCCATTGTGCTAGGTGTGGGGCATGTGGAGACCTGAGTGACAAAGGGCATCGTATTCCTTAATTTGCTGACCCAGCCTGGGCTCTTCTAGGGGGAACAGTCATGCAGTGCCCAGACGGCATCGATCTTATACCAGGGTGTGTGCTGCGGCCTCCGAGCCATCGTCTGTGAGACAGTGCCCAGGCTCTCAAAGCAGATGGGTAGCCTGACACGTAACTGCTCTGTGTGTCCAGAGACACTGACCACATAGCTTTTGGCAAAGGTCCCTCCATCAGGCAGAGGCTCCTTCACGGGGAAAGACCCCATTCCTTCCCTGTCCTACCCCTTGCTTCCCATTCTTCCCCTTCGCTCCCCAGCCCCTCACTCCCCACTCCTCCCTTTCACTCCCCACTCCTCCCCTGTCCAGCTTCTCGCTCCTCATTCCTCCCCTGCTCTGCAACTCACTCTCCACTCCTCCCCTACCTCTCACTTGTTCCCTGCCCACAGCCCCTTGCTCACCCATCCTCCTCCATCTGGCCCCTTGCTCCCTGCTCCTCCCTTTCACTACCTCCTCCTCGGCCCGATTGCCCCAAGCTTTCCATTCCTACCCCATCCAACTTCTCGCTCCCCACTCCTCTCCCATCCAGCCTTTTGCTCCCTACACGTCCCCCATGTGGCAATTTACTTGCTCCTTCCCTGCCCACCCCACCTGGCTCCTCACTCCCTGCTCCTCCCCTGTCCAGCTCCTCACTCCCCACACTTCCCTTTCACTCCCCCCTCCACCCCCAGCCTATCACCTCTCTTCCCGCTCCTCCAAAGTTTCCGAAGGGAGCGGCCGATCGGCAGGCCTGGCAGGCAGACGTGGAGACACGCCTCCCGGCAGCCCGTCACAGGAGCGCAGTTCAGTCGCTCAGAGCTTCGCCAGTCGGCCTGCTTTGCTGGCACTGCTTTGCAATCCGCCACCTGTCAAACCTGGACGGGGACCACAAAGCGGCCGTGTGCTGTAAAGCAGGCTCACGGCGGCGAGGGGAGGGGAGGGGAGGGGCGACGGCACGCAAACACTCAAGACGATGAGTCGCCGCTGATGCCCGGCATCCGTAATGGATGCGTGTGCAGTGCTTCTGAGACGTGTTTTGGGCCCACTTTGTGATAGATCCGGGCTAGACGCATGATAGCCAGCATGATGTGGAGAATAAGCCTCTCCCAGCTGGAGACGCCTCCACCCAGCCGCCGTAGTCCTCGGCCTGGCTCTCTTCATTTCCCTGCATTGGTCCCACAGGTGAACCGACTGGATCGCTTCCCAAGCCACGTTTAGCTTCCCCCGGAATAGCGGCTGGGGCGAATCAGGCCGCTCCCCGCTGCCGTTCACATGCCGTACAGCTTGGGAACCATCATGTTTCCTGGCTGTCCCGCTTTAGCTGCTTAAATGGCGAGCTCCTGTTCTCGCGTAATTACGTATCTCGCTGTTTTCCCACCAGTGACCGAGGTACGTGCGTCTGATTGTTACTGCCGCGAGCCCGCTGCCACATTACGCCGCTTTAAAAGCGCTCTGCCCCCGCCGCCGCCGTCTCCGGAAGCTTCAAGGGTGTCACGCGGGAGGACAATAAAAGCGACAGCTGTCTGAACCGCCAAGTCACCTTGGGATGGCTTCTGCGCTCCCTGTGGTTTAATTGGATGGCATTTTGGACCTAATGTTCTGATCCCTGCTAAAAAAAGCTAAAGTAGTGGCCTCAGATTTATTTTTTTTAATTAACACACAGTTACTACTTCTGCTCAACATGCAATTGCAACCCAGCGAGAATAATTAGTTTTAGGCTTAAATAGAGGCTATGTTTCATTGAACACGCTTCTAAGAGCTGTCGCTCACCTGAGGGGACAGTCCGGAATTAATTCCCATTTGAACACCCTCCGTTTTCTTTCCCCGTTCAGCATTTCTCCTTGGCGATGGCCTCGCCTGACCGGTTAAGCTCGGGGCTGGCGGGTGCTAACCGCTGCAGCCTCTGTGCTGTAATGAAGTGAATTTCTTGTAAGGGCCTATTTTCCTCGAAATAAGAAAACAGCATTTTAATCAGCCTTTAGGCTCACATACTTAATGTCCTAATGAACGTAATTGATTATTCTGTTATAGAGAGTCTGGGTAAGCAAGCAGCTTATTTGTAAGAGCAATCCATTTCAGATGGCCCGTGAACTCGGGCGAAAGTGGCGTCTGAGATCGATACGGCATCTGTGGGTGTGTATCACAGTCGGTGACTGGCCATTTTCGTATATGGACATATGGTGCGGTGTGTGCGTATGCACGCGTGTGTGTGTGCGTGTGTGTATGTGTGTCTGGGCATTCATGTTTGCGTCTTCTCCGCCATTTCCGATACTGCTACTGTCCACAGGGGGTCGTGTAGAAGCCCCTGGCAATCAGATACAGGCCACAGAGGGTCTCGGTATGCCGGATCTCACGCTGATTTAATGATGATCAACTCTGACCCCATAGCACATGCATGCAGGGCAGGGTTTAGCAGAGGCAGGGCAGACGCTTGGTGCCAGGCTGAACCCTGACATTCATTCATGACGTCTTTGACCATCTTCTCACAGCCTGTCAGGCTGTCTTCACGCTAGTTGGGTGCCCTACGTACCTGTACTTCATTCATGTCATCTTCAAACCACCTTCACTAATGTGTAGTCACATGCATTCACACTGGCTGAGCTTTTTGTTCATTCTGGGCCGTTACACCGCTGTTAATCAGCTTAGCCGCATTTACAGGGAGTCAGTCTTGATGACTTTGTTAGGATGTAATTAAAGGATCGGCTCCAGGAGTCATTTTTCAGCTGTGTTCCGTTTCAGTAAGTTAATAAGATATTTGTATTATTCAGTGGACTTATTGACCAGCCCTCACCGGGCTGAGGTGCCCACCGTGGACCACATCTCTTATCTGGGCCTCAGCAGGTTGATTAAGGCCCCCTAGCTGCGAGACACGCGAGTGTGTTTCTCATTCGGAGGCGGCTGAGAGTGCCTGTATTTGAATACCACACATTTACATGGCTGTTATACAGCCCCTGCAGGTTCCCCTTAGCTGGACGGGCAGACTCAGCCCATGAGATTTTCCAAGAAAGACACGAAAGTAAGAAAAAGCAGTAGATTCGTTGTCCAGCTCATTAGCGCCTGTTCTGCACGTGTGGTTCACCTCCTGAACCTGGCTGCCCAAGCCCAGCACCCGGAGTAGCTCCTCTAGGTCTTTGCTGCTGCTGGTGCGGCTGCTCGTATCCATATCCCAGCTGGAAGGGGCCCCCACGGACCCCCCTGCCTGGCCAGCACTGGTAATGCCCCCTGCCCCCTCATTAGCTGAACCAAGGCTGCCTTGGACGCTTTCTGAAACGGGCTTCTCGTCTGGCCTGTTTGGTTGAGCAGAACCTTGTACATCCTGGGATTTCCTGAGGGTTAGAGAGGTGTACAGCAAATGTGAACGATATCAGTATCCTAGAACGTGGGGATACGGCTCTAGCAAGAGTAACATTTAAATGTATTTGCATTGTTTTGTCTGCCTTTCATTATATAACGTAGGCTGAACGGTCAGAGGGAGAGCTAGATAATAAATTAACAGAGAGCTGCTTCTTAGTCTAAAAAAGCGCTTCCAAATTAACGAGGATGTTAATGGAGCGTCAAATCACGACTGTAATTGTGGAAGCCTGATTAGATAAATCACTATTCATTCTCATATCAGATAAGGTTTACCACCAAGACTTGTGCTGCATTTGAGATCAAGGGAGATGAGATAAGAGTTTCTCGTGCCCCCTACAGATTTACATTTTAATTCCCTGAAGACTGTGAGTGAGGCATCTGGGAAGATGTTATTTTTTTCTTGCTAATTCAAATGATTACCACTGAGTCACTAGAGGGCAGTATAGTTTCTACCATCACATCTAAGAGTTTTGAAGTGGTCACGTGAGTTCAGTACTTGTATACGAATATATCGCAACGTCAGTGTAAGTTACTTTTCTACAGGACCAATGAATCTGAGACTGTTATAGTAATGAAATACACATGAGAAGGTTGATCGTTTTGCCTGAAGTCTTGTTCAGTCAGAATAATTATTTTCGCAGACTGACAAATTTAAGTATAGTGCTTAAATTTTATGGCTTAACCATTGTGCGTTTACAAGGTTTTTATCACATGTAAAGCTTATTTAATTTAAAATGCTATTGAAATTGAAATCAGTGGTTGTTATATGCACACTGTAAGTCATCTGGAGATGATCAGTTACCTTTATTGTTGAATGTTAAAACCTTCCTGCACAATATAATGCATTTTTTGCATGGTGCCATGTCACCTGATGTAATTTGCATGCTGTCCTACTAAAAAGTGCTGTCTTCTTAATGGTTGCCCACTAACAGGTGCTGTCCTTTTGTTGGTTGCCCTCTAACAGGTACTGTCTTCTTATTGGTTGCCAGGTCTCCTGACTAGTGTAGCAACAGGGCCTCCCAGCAGGGGATGTGGATCGCGATTCGCTGCTTCCCGCACTCCGTGGTCGCCACCGTCGAATCATCCGTCATCTGTCATCGGCTTGACTTGTCCGCCCATCCATCTCCGTGCATCGTGATACGGACCACAGAGGGTGGTTCTCCATGCTTCTCCGAAGCCCGGGAACGGGCAGGACTCCGACCCCGCGTGGCGGCATTCTGCCCCCGTAACTCTGACCCGACCCGGTTACTGTGGAGAAACAGACCGACCGTCCCAGCTTCGTCCACTGGGCCTCTGCCAGCGCCGATGTTTGGTGCCTGAAGCATTTTTTCCATTCAATAGACCAAAGAGGACCGTACTTTTCTGGGTGGACAGGACGGACACACAAGGGGACAGGAATTCATCGTCAGGGATGCTCACACTGAGCAGGGAGAGGCCAAGGCGGTGATGTCATCACTCCTGGGCTCCAAGGCACCACTGTACTCTGTGCAGATATTATATATATTCCTGCGTAATATATATAATAATCAACATTGCATTTTTTTCAAACGCTGTATTTGGACAATTTGCAATAAGCATGCAGACAGCAAACGATTTACGGGCAGACAAGGAAATGGTGATTCTGGTTTTGGAAAAATATCATTAAATGTATTTTAAACAAAAAAGGCCTAAACTTATATATTTAACAGTTTTATATGTGGTACATTTGTAGAGACCCTTATTTAACAGAGATGGTGCCGTCACGCCACCCGTGACGGGCTTCTGGGAGACGCCTGGCCCACGGACACACCGCTCTGCTTCCCCGCTTTTACGTCACCTCAGCTTTCTTGAAGTATATTTTTCAACGTCCGTTGACGCTTTTTAAAGTGCGACTCATGACCAGCCCACATAGCAGACGTTAAACGGGACGAACGCAGCGAGGCTAAAAGCCTGCAGTGACTAGTCTGTGTGTCTCATAGCGCTGGCCCTGTCGGATGTTTGCTGTTGTATTATATATCAGTGTGAAGTGCCAAGCTTTTCGACTTTGCGTTAAATTAGCTCGACTCTCTTTCTCTTGCACAGCGCCGGCCTCAGAGCAGCAGCAGCCGACGGGAGGGACACGGTCGCACAGAAGTTTCTCATCAAATAAAGGAAATACACTGAGCGCATATTTCAGAGAGTCACTAAGCCGGTATTGAGGGTTCCTCATTAAAATATTCGATCTGTGTCTGGCTTGAAGGTTATTGTTTTTTTTTTTTGGTTAATTTTTGTGCTGTATCTGCTTTTTAATTTGAGGTGAAACGTCCCGAAGCATTAGCCGTCTCAAAGGAGTGTTTATTTTTAGCTGCTGTTTTATTTTATTTTATTTTTTTTTGCCATGCAAGGTTGGCAGGCTAAATTGCATAATAAATATATAAATATGGTAGTCTATACAGAGACTGATATGCAAATATCTAATATTCCAGTACTTTTATACATGAAGGCTATTGACATATAGATATAAGCATTTTATCTGTAATAAAAAGTTAAGCTCTTATTACAAACCTGTCTGCAGAAATGGCGTCGGATTAATTTGTGACCTTTTGGAATTTGTGTAGGTGATCAGATTTTTTTTTTCTCTTGGTGGGGGGGGGGGGGGGGCACTGGTCTTTTACACTGTGCATCCAGTGAACATGCTGTCTCTGCTTTTCCCTCCTTGTCAGTGTTGGTGCTGGAACCCGTGTCTGATGCCCATAAGGCCCTAGATGGGGGGGGGGGCTCCCACGGGGGCAGCGGTGATGGATATAAAGTGTAAGGGTCACTGAGGAAAATGCCCCCCCCCCCCTCCGAGCTGAGAGTTACGCAGACCCAGCCTCATTCCTGCTGGAGGGAGGGGCCGATTAATTACGGAGCCAGAAGGAAACCTTGCAGCTCTTTGTTTGGGTTCAAAAAAGCCCTAAAATCACATCGCGGAATAAGAGTCACGAGGGAATAGCAGTCATTAAAATCCATCTTTAGCAGGAGCATGTTAGCGTTGCCTAGGTACCGCTATGGACCGAGGATTACTTTAAGTTGCAGTGCCGCAACGTTAATGATACTAGTTTTCTAGAGATCTTGCTGGTTTAGGTGGTCAACCTTCAGAGGTTGAATGCCCAGCTGTGTATGAGGGGAATTCATTTTTACTATCGGGGACATCTAGCCGATGTTGTCGCCTGACAGCAAGGATAAGGGGGAATTTCTCCCAAATGTTCAATCTGGGTCCTCAGGCCTCCCAACAGCATATTAAAAGCAGGAAACAGGGTAATAAATAAAATGAGCAATGCAGTGGAGATAAGATGCTTTTCCAACTCAAACTCCCCACCAAGGACCAAACCTCAGATCATACATGCCACAGGACCGCCTTTGTCTTTGACTGTTTATCTTTTACTGGTGACATCATACGTCCATTAAGCTATTTATCGTATTTGTTTTTTATCGTTTGTGTTTCTTATGCTGGAAATACATTTTCATCATTTTACTATATGATGAACACTCCAGCGTTGCCATTCGGCAGGAGGTAAATGCTTTGTGGGCTAATTGTTTTAACGCTGAATGTACTTACTGTACAACCCTGACTGACAGCTGAGCGCCTTTGTTCGGCTCAGTGAAGGGGCCCAGCTGCACTGCTGCGGCCGGAAATGGCACAAGCAACACTTTTTGCTTCCTTAGAACTGAAATCCAATAATCTCCAGGTGACAGTAGTAACCCTTCAAAACAACAGGACCCTAGTGCGCAAATCTCATGGGGGAGAAGGATGCCACTGAAGGAATTCACATGGCGTAATGTGATCATCCGTGTGTGAGCAGAAGGCAGGGCAGTAGGTGAGGTAGTGGCTTAGAAGCTGTGACATTTAATCGTTGTCAGTAGAAGGGTTCATGTCACCGGGGGGTACTGAGAATCGTAGTTAACAGGAACTTCAGCATTATAGCCACTTTGGTCACCTTGACCAAAAACGTCACCCAAGCAATTAAAAAATATGAATGTTAACACGTGTATGGTGCTACCTCTAACCATACTCCTGACCCCAATGTCAACCCAGATGCAAGCTCCAGCCCTGACGGTAAACCGATCATTTACAAAATTAACCATAATTGTAATCCCATCCTCAAACCTGAACCCAATCAAAATCATTGCCCTAGTCCTAATTATCAACTTATTAAAATAAAGGCTGACTAAATCTGAAAACCTGCAAGCAGACATGATGGCCTGTGTACCTTGTCCTCGTCAGGGGCTGTCACCTTTCATTTTATGGGGGGGGTAGCCATTTTCTTCCTAAGTCTAATCCTAAACCTAACTATAAGCCTAGCCCTAAGCCTAACCCTAAGCCTAGCCTTTAGCCTAACCCTAACGCTAAGCCTAACCCTAACCCTA